TCCATTCTCCTTCCTCAAGTTTCTTCTTATTTATCATCTTTTATGATCATAAGTTTACCATTTGCTCATTAAAGAAAATTTGAAAGTACTCAGTTGTGGACAGAACTGCTGTCCTGGATCTGTCCCCAGTCTTAGAAGAGGACCCAGAATTTGCTTTAGGATAAATAACCTCTCTTTTGTTTTTAGTCCTGTGATTTAAGCTCGATTGATCCACTCTTTCTGAAGCACCATAGGTAGATCACAGTTGGTTTAAGACAAATAATACCCCTCATTGTATTGGCCTCGCACATGATTGGAGAATTGGCAAATAACACAGGGAGAGCCACTATTATGTGAGGAGATACGTGCTGGTGCCCATGTGAATGATGTTTCCTCTATCAAGAGAGGAAACTGCCAAAAGTTATCTCTCTTGGTTTGGATGGATGATCTGGGATGCTGAGTGCCTAGAAGCAGTGTGCTGAGACATCTTTGGACACAGAATGAAGACAGGACAAAAGCAGCCCTTGACATCATCTGGGCTAGAGTATCTCTCCTTGACTGAAGCCAGACCTCAGACTTGAGGTTTTCATTTACAGGAACCAAAAAATCCCATGCATCCCCATTTTTTGGTTGTTGTTTAAACACATTGCAGATTGATTTTTTCACCTACAATCAAAAGACTCCAACTCTGAAAATGAATAAAAAATAAAATAAGAAAAATGCTTCTACCTATAGACATAGTTCCTTCAGAAGGGTACATTGTTTGTATATTGCAAATCATTTTATATATTAATTTTATTCTCAAGGCTATCTTAAGCATAACACTTTGACATGTCATAAAGTATATTCATGGACACACTTTTTCATGGCTGCATACTATTCTACTTTGTGAAGGGTTGGAAGAATATTTTGGCTGAGATTTATATATATATACATATATATATATACATATATACATATAAAAGTATATCTTTGACTTGTATCCATACTGACTTTCCCTGCCATTTTGAAATACTTCCTGATTAAAAGTTTTTCAAAGCTGAATTAGTGGATTAAAGCATATGAATATTTTTGACTCGATATCAACTGCCAGACTGCTTTCTAAGAAGGCTTGAGGAGTACACCAGAAATTAACACAGCATTGTTAATCAACCATACTTCACAAAAAATATCCAGTAACCTAGGCATGAGATTGATGGTCACTGTTATTTCATCCTCATAAACACAGCTGTGTCACTTGAGAGGTGGAAAACTATTTCATTTTGATGTGCACTGAGTGAATTACCATTGGAGTGTGACATCTATTTTTCCTTTGTGAATATGTGTCCATTTTCTCTGCCTTCTATGCTCCTGAGATTTTTTGATGTTACGTTTGAAGTGATCTGAACTCTCTATGTATTGAAGGAATTAGCCCCTTTTTGGATTTGTAAACAAATAACATCCTCTGGTGTTTTGTTTAAAATTAGGATGCTTCTGATGCATGGAAATCTTTGTATACTTTCCTCTGAAACTTACTGTTCATGTAGAGGTTGTATACTCATCCATATTTATTTGTAGTTTTTTTCTAATTGTGTTACTTTTTAAATGTTTCTGGAATTTATCACAATATATGGTTCACTGTATGATTACAATCTTTTCTTTTCCCCCCAAGTAGCTAACAAGTGTTCCATTTACTGAATAACCTTTATTTATCTCCCTGATTTGTAGTGCCTTCCATCTCTTATATTAAATTATTATTGATATCAGAGCCCATATCTGGACTTCCTGTCCTATTTTCTAATCTGGCTATTCTTGAACTAGTAAAACTCTCATTATCTTATTAATTATTATATTACTAATATGATTTTTTTCACAATAAACCCCAAATGAATTTTATAACTTCTGATATTTTGGAGGTATGATCTTTTAATCTAGAATCATGTGATTAAAGCATCTTTTATATCTTTCAGTAGTTTTTACTTTTATTTTTTGATAGTTCCTACTATCCTTTTGTTAGGCTATTCTTAGACATTTTACCTTGGTTGTTACTCTTGGAAAATTTTAGAATTCTTGAAGCCTCCATCTGGTCTCTTAATCAGACACTGGAGAATCCTAAACCACTGATCTGATTTGAACAAGTGAGGTGAAAAGAATTGGGGGAAGCACTGTGAGCAGAAGAGACTGTGGAACCTCCAGAGTGGCACCCTGCGTTGTCTGAGATGTTCTCTGGATAAAGTTTTCTCTGAGATTACATAGTTCCCAGCTTGATTTTCAGTTTTTTCAGCATTTCACATTAGATTTTAAAAAGTCTGTGGCAGGTTCTTATCCAGAAAAAGAGCACTTGCACAGAGGGTTTTATGTATACACTTTCACCAGGTGGTAAATGGAACACGCTCTTCTTCCTAATTAAAAAAACTAGTTTAGTCAAATAACGGATTACACCAATGAAATGGTTTTTCTCCTAACTGGTCACTAAATCCTGAACATAATTTTAAAAAAATAATAATTTCCAGCCATAGCCTCCTTATTTGTAAATGCATGGGGTTTTTTTCCTGTTTTTTTTTCTTTTCTTTTCTGTTAACGATGTCAAACACACAACAAAATACGTACAGTTTTCATTTTAATACTATTTTTTGATAATGCACATGTGAACAGTAAACTGTTTCCCTGCCGTGGTCTGAGCACCTGGCGAGGCCAAGCTTTAAAGCTCTATTCCTTAGCTTGCCTTTGATTTCAGAAGTGATGGTAGTGACAGCCTAGAGTCTGTGCAGGACAGAAAGTATCACAGGAGTCTGCAGTTATCTGGTCTCCACTGTGTGTTTCTTCGTTGAGCTTTATGTGTTACTTAGCTGCAACTATGAAGTTTAAGTTTCCATTTTAGAATTTATATTTAGAATATTTTAAGAGATGAAATCAGTAAGACTCAATATTTACCTGGATTGTAAAACCAGATATAGTATAAAAATAGCTGTAACTAAGTACATGGCCCTTCCTATGTGCAAGGAAGTCTTCCAAGCAGATTCTGTACATTACTTCAACCCGTCCTTACCACAGTCATGAAGAAGCAACTCTCTTATTCTTATTTTATAGGAAACTATGGCACAGAGAATTTAAGCTGTCCAAGATCACTCAGGAAGCAAGCTCCTGTGTTCAAATATGAATTTAGGCAACTTCATTCCCAAGCTCTCACTACCAAAACGCTTTAAACAATGGAGCATGCTTTTGCAAGTAAAGTAAAATGCTTAAATTAAAAACTAAAAAAAAAAATTAGGCAATTTTTTAAATAAGGAAGAACGATCAAGTGAAATGTGTCTTCATCTTCAATTTTTCAACAAGCATGTTCCAATGAAAATTTAAACTTATTAGCTGGCAATTTTAAATTTAAACTTGGCAGTTTAAATGACCAAAAAACTTTTCTTCAGTATTTTTTCTATGCTGCCAATATGA